AATTCGACATTCATTACCAATGTAGTGTTCAATCAAATTTTCAATGTACTCATCTCAAGTTCTCATCGAGCATATTTAATTAATTCAATTCCATATCTCTACATGAATTAACCTTAGTTAAATGAAATATTAGTTCTAAGAATTCATCTAATGATCGTAATAATTAGTACATGTATCTTTACACGTTACATTAAATTACCGAATTTTATTGTGTGATTAAATCTAAAACTCACATCTTGATACGTAAAAGATTCGCAAAATCATTTAATTAGTGATCAAGTAATTTAAAGCATTAAATACATTGATAAAATCAATACATAGACTTTTAAAGAATTAGATCTTGATTAAAAGAAATAAATGGTTTCAATAAATTACATTGTTTGCCCTAATGAAAAACTTAATTACTCATAATGTATAAAGAAAAAAATTAACAATATTGGACTTCATCTCCGGGTTTTGAATTGATATGTGGAGAAGTGGATTAATCTTGCACCGAGTCCCTCTTCTTGCCTTCAATCTTAATTCCAAACCCCAACTCTTAATTTGATATTTCTCTCCTTTTAATTTTCTCTATAATTCTCAAGTTGTATCTTATGTCTCTCAATATGTGGAACCCCCCTTTCAAAATACCAAAAACTTATATTTATATTCCTCACGTTTTTCCCTAATTTAGAGATTTTATGGGCTTTATAATGGACCAAAAAACGTGCCCTAGTTGGTCTTTAGGCAGTGTCCGGGTGCCTGGAAGTAGCGCCGCGATGCCACATCATTTTTCCTTGTGGCATAGTGACGTTGAGGCGCCACGCTTCTATCTACTGCATTGTTTTGTGGCACCTAGGTAGCACCTCAATGCCACATTCTCGGTCCATGTCCTCTTTTTCTTTTTGTTTGATGTAGGAAATTGACTATTTTTCCATTTTGTTCCTCTTTTCTCTTCTTTTGATTCCAAGCTATTTGTTTTCTCCACTTTTACCATCATTAACTTCACCTCACCAAACATATAAAACAACACTAATAAATACATTAAAAACGTTCAATACTTAAAAGATCTAGTCAACAAGCCAGTTAAAATGGTATATAACTTGTATGTGTTGTCATATACAAATTATTTAATATAATTTCTCCATGAGAGGTACCCTCATTCAGTTCTATTCACTCTACTCAACTTTGAACACCATGATCTTTGCCTTTTTTTTTTCATGTGCATTATTGTGGACATTTTTTAGGGTTTTTTTTTAAAGTTCAATAAACTTTATTAAACCAAATTGCCACAAATAGTTGGCAAAAGAAATTGAGTAATATAGTCAAAACATCGACCTATAGACCAATCAATTGAAAAGAAAGCTACCACTTCGTGGGTTGCTTTATTGTCCTCGCGGAGAATAAAGGCCATGTTTGGTTGAAATTAAAATTAGATTTTCAGTAAATTTTGATATAAGTTTTTGAAATTTGTGGTTAAAAAGTTGTAGAGTGCATAAAATATGTGGTTAATATTGATTATTTAACTTTGATTTAAATTAAAATTGAATTTAAATAATACCAAACATGGGTGAAGTGACAAGATCCACAGTTGATATCGGCAAGTAACATTTTAATATCTAATAGTAGCTCTACATTTTAAGCCGACTGTAGACCTGTCTTGAGATTCCACACAACTCGGAGAGAATCAATTTCGATGACTGTTATTTTGAAGTCTAGATCCACAAGTGTAAGCCAATCACGTAATGTTATTGCCTCCGCATCCTCTACCTCATAGAATTCCATTGTTTCCTTTGATTGAGCCCCCATTCATTGCGGATGACTACTTCTAAATTGATGAAGCCATATTCTCCCCTAATGGCAATTTCATCATTTCTCCCTTCTCAATCGGTTGAATAATAGTTGCCTTATGTCCCCATTCCATCAGACATCTAACTGTGTTTGCAATATTATGTCGATCTCGTGGCTTCTCCATGTATTATCCAGTTTCGTTCACCACAAATACACCATAAAATTCACCCGAATTCAACCAAATCTGACACCTAGCATTCTTTGTAGACACCAAGTAAGACACCCCACATGTCATCAATGTCGAAAATTTGTTTCGTCCGTTTCCACCAACCTATCACATTCCAAATAGACTTCGTCTCCTTACACTAGAATAGTAAGTATAAACAGACTTGGTTAAGCTACATCGATCAAATGCCTCATGAATTGGTACGCTCTGTTTTCTGAGATTTTCTGTTGCTGGTAATGCTCAATGAAAAGTTCTCCAAAAGAAGATTTGAATTTTAGGAGGCCCTAGTAATTTCCAAATACGATTCCACCATGTTGTTGTTGTAACATTACAAGAACCTTCTACAGGATACTTTCTTGCTACCAATACCCGATAACCTCTTCTCACCGAATATTCCCCATTAGCTTCGTAATGCCAAATCATCTTATCAGGTTGTAGACTTCTTCACAAAGTAATAGATAATATCTTAATGCTTTCTATTTTATTAACATTCAAAGCACCTGTGACTATCACTAACCTTGTCCACCGCTGCATTAAGTTTCAAGTATGGTCTGTGTTATGCTTGTGACTCTAATTCCATGTGATTTGAAAGTTTGATTCGTGAAGGAAGCCTTGATAATTTTGGTTTAAAAGTTTGTTTGACAAGGAATCAAATTTTATCATGGATTTGGAGTTTGACTGGGATAAAGACTTTGGGATGGTTGAAAAAGTGAATTAACAGCACTAGGACGGTCGGTTCCGTAACCCTTGATTTTTCAGAAGCAGAATTGCTGGCGCCCCAGCGCCGCGGGAAGAATTTTATTCTGTTTTGGTTTTTGACGAGGTTTTGTGTTCTATTTCATCCATAACTTCAAGATTTGTCTCCTATAAATAGTCCACAAAGTGTAGGTTGTTCATAGACTCAAGATAACAATTAGATCATTGTTGTATACATTAGAAACAGAGATAATTGCTTAGATTTAAATTGAGAGATTCAAATCTTGTAAAGATACTTTTAGTTGCTTAATATAATAAACTCTCCTCTTCTTCCACAAAAATCTTGGTGGTTGTGTAATCCATTATTTTTCATTTGTTCATATTTTTTTGTCTTTAATTATTATGGGTCATTTTAACAAGTACCCCAACTAAAAAGAGAAGCAGAATTGCTGGCGCCCCAGCGCCGCGGGAAGAATTTTATTCTGTTTTGGTTTTTGACGAGGTTTTGTATTCTATTTCATCCATAACTTCAAGATTTGTCTCCTATAAATAGTCCACAAAGTGTAGGTTGTTCATAGACTCAAGATAACAATTATATTATTGTTGTATACATTAGAAACAGAGATAATTGCTTAGATTTAAATTGAGAGATTCAAATCTTGTAAAGATACTTTTAGTTTCTTAATATAATAAACTCTCCTCTTCTTCCACAAAAATCTTGGTGGTTGTGTAATCCATTATTTTTCATTTGTCCATATTTTTTTGTCTTTAATTATTTGGTCCGATTCTCAACAAGAATGAGGTAAAAATCATGGTCAAATTACATTCCAAGAAGAATTCTGCTCCAAATTGGAAAACATGATATTTGCAGCCGAAGTTCATGAATTTGATCTTGTTATTCAATTCGTAACCGAATATTTGTATTATTATAAATTCAATTTTTTCGTTTTATATGCTATTTGTCTTTCAACTTGAGAGCTTTATGTTTGCTCTTCATTATTCTAAAATCATAAAATATTGATCCAATAAAGTTTCAAAAGCTTGTAATTTAGTCCCCCCAAACTTTTCAATTTTCGAATTTAACTCTTAAAACTTATGAGTTTTCTCCAATTGCTCAATTACTACTTCTGATTGATTGATTGATTGATTGCAACCCAGATAGTCTTCATTTGCTTCGAATCAACTCCAATTAAACTCTAAATAGTCAATTTTCACACCGATTGTATCGAAGTTGAAAACTTTCCTACAATTAACATAATTTGCATAAATTAATAGAAAATTGCTTGATTTACATATAATTGAGTAAGAATAGAATCCCAAATAAATACATAAAATGCATTTATAATGTATCTATACAAATGAATGAAGAAGAAATATGGACTTAGAAACCTATTTAGGAAAAACAGCCTAGGCATATGTTACTGTCAAAAGTCTAAAATCAAAAGAAATTAGATTAAAAATGACTGGAGGAGATAATCCTATAAATTTTAATAATTTTATTAGGGAAATAATCGTAGGATTTGATCCCATTAGAGATTAAAAAAAATAAATAAATAACAATAGCTAAATTATTTAGATCTAAAAATAATAAGACTTTCTAATAGCCAACTTAGATCAGCTAGAATGGGTATAATTAAAAGATTGAATTATAATATTGTGGAAGATTAATATAAAATATCACATAAAGACATGTTAAAAATAAAATAATAAATAGTAAAATATTTCAAAATTTGATTATAAATCTAGATTTTGGCAAATAAAAATGACAAACTAATCTTTGGACATTTTGAATGCTTAGTTATGCCTTTAAGAATGCATCTTCAATTTTACAAAGAAAGTTGGATTCTATTTTTAATTCTTTTTCATATGTTTGTGTATAAATAGATGATATTTTGATGTATAGTGAAAATCGGAAATAACATATAAAACGTTTATAAGTCTACGAAAGTGCTCGTTAGTTTCATTCAATTTGTATGAAAAAAAGATAAAGATAAAGTTTAGGAACCCTAATTAAGAATATATTGGTTTTCGCCTGGCAAAATTATGAGTGTTAAAAATAAATGCTTAGTTTTCTTGTTAACAATAATGCTATTGAATGAAGTTCCCATTTACTTTCAAAAAACAGAACAATGCTATATTAATGAACCATGCGAAACACAGGTAATGTAGTAAATCACATCTTACTAATACTGAAACATCATTGGACCTATCACACATTAATTAAAAACATAGAAACAAACTTGAAAATAGATGCACTAAAACCACTGTTTGGTCTCTTAGTAATCAACTAATCAAACTTTCCATCCACTCATTCTTTCTTTGTCATAGAAATGGTGACATTGATAACTTTCGTCTCCTCTTTGGACATGCAATGACTAAGAATTTCCCCATACTTAAGAAATAGTTTATCCATTATGGATTCACCAAAGTGATCAATCAACAAAGGCTCCGCCACTGATCTCATGCATTTCGCTACATTGTATCCATCGTCATTGAAAGAATGAGGCAAATTGAATTTATTGCTGCAGGCAGCCCAGTTGATTTCAGAAGCCTCTAGGCGATCAATGGCAAACGACCCTTCCTTTTCGACCTCTGCCTTCACTTCAAATGGGGATGGCGTGTACTGAGGAATGCCGAATGAGTATAACTTCTCTTGTTCTATGAGTCCCTGCATCAAGATAATATTTGGGTACACTAAAAAAATTACCTCTAAGAAAGTTTTAAAATAAAATAATATACTAATAGTCACTTGAAATGAATAAATTACTTATTTTGAAAGTTATCTTTATCTTTTTGTCATAATAAATCTAGTCACCATAAAACCTTGTGATATTATTATACAACCATTTTTTTTTTTTAAGAACATCTCTAATTGCCTTGTCAATTATAAAAGTAGATTATTAAACAGAATAATTAGGATGCTGAACTCGAAAAAACTGAGCAGTGAAAAAGGTCAAATAGAGATATGTATATGTTCACCGTCCTATTCATGCCATTCAATCTTATATACAAAACATGTCCTTGATGGGCTTAATAGTTATATGTTTTCAGTACAAATATTTATTTACTATATATATTAGATACCTCATAAACCATTTGTTTAAGTGCCTTGGCTAAGAGGTCCCAAATGTAGCAGCATTCTTTGCTTGTAGGATCATCACTTTTTCTCCCCAGAATTGTTAAAACCATGCGCCCACCATTCACTACTTCCTCTGAACGACACTTTAGGAACATTGAAAAGTCTTTTTGAAATTGCTCGTAGTATGCTCGGATCACGCTTGAAGGACTTGTACTTGCCAAGTATATGTTTTCTTTGTTCATCTCCACCCCTTTAGGAACCTGATAAACATATAAATTTAATAAACAATGAAAAAATTGTTGAATATGCACATCGATTTTATACGATATTGAAATAGATGGGATGAAAACACAAACACAGTTCGTGGATTCAATTTTGTGTCGCTACTTATTTATAAAAAAATGAGCACGTGAGGGGACGTGTTAAAAATATAATAACTATGTAATTCTCAAGAAATTAAGGGTCAAGAAGTTTAATTACTTGAGATAGCCACATAAGACTATAAGAAGAATGAACAAAATGTAGACTTCGAGTAGGAAAAAGCCTCTTATAGAATGAACCAGGTACCCCAGTGAAAAAGCACGGTCCAAATTCAGATCCCATTTCCTCTCTTAATTCTTCTTGGACCCGTGGTAAGGACCGAAAAATGGAGTTAAAATCATTTCCAGGAAGATCGTTCAAGTATATTTGAAATTCTGGTGATGATTGACGACCAAAACTTCTTCTTATTTTGTCGACCATTTTCATAACCTCAGTTACCACGAACAAAGTATTTGGCCCAGAAGAACAACCAAGATCTGCTATGCATATAGTCTTGAGGAATTTGTTTCCATATATTCCAGTAACTGCTTCTTCTGTTATTGTCTTGGTCATGGATATTACCTTTCGCTGCCATAATTAATCTCGAGTTAATTTTGAATAACATTTTTTAAAAAATTAAACAAATAATAAATACATTAATTGAGCATGCTCTCACAACTATTTTTGTGCGAACACGGAGCGGAAATTTGATTTTAATCTTGACCAAACACGGAAATAATATCTCTCGAGTTATCAAAATAACTATATGCAAGAGTGAAGAACCTTTAGTTTACCTGTATTGTTGAGTTGCTTGCGTAACTGTTATCTCCAAATCCTCCATTCATGTGGAGCACGCTACTTACTTCCATATTTTCTCACGCTACTTTGTTGTGGTTGGTTGTTCAAATATAGGAGGCTATTTATAGACCCTCCGAATCCTTTGCACCGTCCATGTAACACATGTATATTATTATTCTATCACTACAAGTTAAACTCAAGTTTGTTGACAACATATAAAACTTGTTTACATCATTTTAATAATATGTTCCTTTACGTGCACAATTAAAGTTGCACCTAAGATTATTTAATTAGTGACAATTTTTCAATTTTTCAATAAATGTGCACAATTTCATTTAATTAGTGACAATTTTTCAATTTTTCAATAAAAGTGCACAATTTCATTTAATTAGTGACAATTAAACTTGAATCATTTAGTTTAGAAATTTAAAAAATTGAGAGGTACCAATTTACTAAAGATTTTTTTTTTTTAAATCTAAAACAGGTAGGGATTAAAATCAATTTTTTAGTAGATTTTGATATAATTAATGAAACTTATGATTGAAAAGTTATAAGACTTATAAAATATGTGATTAAAATTAATTGTTAACTTTTATTTAGAATAAAATCTAAATTTTAATTTCTATCATACAGGATCTTAAATAACTTTTTAACATGTTTTTATTATATCAAAAGAAATTAGGTAACATGTTCTACTACGTATGTAATCCTATATTTTGTACGAATGACATGAGCTTAAATGCGTAATCGATGACTTTTAATTGAATGACATCAGCATAAATACATAATCCATTTTTTTTTTCTTTCACGCCTATCTTCTAGAATATGTGTTTTTTATTTAAGACTATTGTTTTACGTACCTATTGTTTTATTTTTATTAATTAAAAATACTAACTATACTTGGTACATAGATGTCAAATTCAAAATCTAACTTCTTATGTCATGTGTAGCACATATATGGGTACCTGTATGAAATGCAACCGTTCAAAAATCTGCATCCAAAGAAGGTACATTTTGAGGGATTTGACACAATAAAAGTAACATTAATGGATTGAGAAATGCTATATGTACACCATGCTTGTAAAAGTCAAGATTACAACACTCGGAGAACACATAACATGCAAGAAATCTCCACAAAAATTACAGAAGTTCCACTCATCAAGAGGGAACCGACATAAAACATCCCTCTTTAAGATGATCTTTCTCAATTATTCAAAATGAAAAATAGTATCATTTTATTGAAGTTATCTTGTTTTAGTTTTTCAATATGAGAGAGATGACTATATTTTTTTTTAAAGTTCGAAAAATATACCTTATTACCCCAAATTTAGGAAAAAAAAAAAGAAAAAAAAAACTAATCTTTATATACTCTAGAGCTCGCAAGCACCACTTGAAAGAGGGCAGGTGAGAAAGAAGTGTAGATATAAAGAGCAATAAAGACACAGAAGCTTTTGGTTGGAGAAATTGAATCACACATGTAGTTATCATTTCAAATCAATTTATAATATAAGAGACCTACTATACAAGTAAATAATACGAAAGAAGATTCTTTAGGAACAATAAGAGACCTTATGAGAAGTTTAAGTGTGACTCTAAAAAATACAGGAACGATAAAAGAGAGAAGAAAAATACTAGGACTGCTAAAAAGATGTCTCAATTTGTTAGGTGACATTAGTGTCAAGGGTTTGAACTATATGGCCTTCGCTTTTATAGTTAAGAATGAAAATGTGGAAGAAGATGAAAAAGTTGAGGACATAGGACAATTTAACTCTTCATAGGAAGAATCAGAAGATGAAGGTGATATCGAAAAGGCATATGATAAGTTGTTTGAGAAGAGTCTTCAATTGAAGAAGCTAAATAAGTTTGCCTTTAAGAAATTGCATGACCTTGAGTTAGAAAATGAGAGGACAAACTTGAGGAGTCGACCAGAAGGGTGAATGAATTGAAAATTGTAAAAGAGTCCCTAGAAAATAAGATTAGGACTCATGTGAGTGATCTTGAGAAATTCAATGCACAACTTCACTCTTTTTTCTAGTAGATCTAAGAAGTTTGACAAAATCTTAGATTAAACAAACCAGCTAGGAGCTGGGGAGGCTTGGGTTATAATGAAGCAAGTTCTCATGTCTTTACCTCTTTTAAAACCTCATTTGTATTTGCCTCTATCAAGACTAAGAGTTTATGAGTCACTAAACATAAGAAAAATGATATCCTAGTATATCCCTTTCCCTTTTTTTTTTTGTTTCCATATTTTCGAATTTTTATTTTTCCTTTTAAAAACGATAATGAAAAAAAATGAAAAAAAAAAAAAATAATGCATGCATGAATATGTAGATCCCATGAACATTGCAGATGCACACATCTAAATACCTACTCAATGAGGAACACGGGTGCTCTTACATTTAAGAGCAACACCAGCAATGTCACAACTAACAACATCACTTTGACTTGTAAATTCACTCTTTTTTACCCAAATCTTCTTAAAAGAAGATGTAATCTTAGTCAATTGAGTCATCAATTCAGTTAAGCGACTCATTTGATTAGTCAAGAATCTAACATGAGTAATTAGATCTTGTTTGTTGTTCCTAATCAAGTTCTTACGGCACCTGGGTATAATGTGACATAACTCATCACATTTGTGGCGAATGGAAATGAATCTAGGAGTTATAGGTTTCAAGTCATGAACGCTTAGTTGAGGAAACCTATATTGGGCAAAAGATCATTATCCTAGAGCTCCTATATTCTTAGCTTTAACTGAAATAGGTACACTCTTGTTTTTAGAAGAGGAAGCAGTATGCGTATTTGTTTTATTGAAGACTAAGCCTCTCATATTCCCAGCTGGCTTATTCGAACCTGACATGTTATAAAACATTTTAGAACCACTAGAAAAATATTAAATTTGGGTATTAGATTTCTCAAGATCACTAGTATGAGTCTTAAACTTAATTTCTAATAACTCTTTCTCAACCCGCAACTCATTTAATCTACCAGTCGACTCCTTAAGTTCGACTTCTAAACTCTTTTTTTCTATCTCTAGTTCACGTAATTTCTTAAATACAGAGCAATTAACCTTCTTCAACCTAAGGTTCTTTACATACAACTGGTCATAGGCCTCTTGCATATCCCAATCATCCACGATTCTTCATCTGAAAGATCATTGCTCTATGTCCTCACGCGTCTCGCTCTCCTCAACATGTTCACTTTTAACCACATAATTGAACGTCATACAATTCCCCCAATCAGGATTGTATTTCTAACTTTGATTATCACAGCTTGACTCGTCATCTGTAAAAGTAGTGTTCATAGCCTTTCCTAGGTTTTTTTTTTTTTTTTTTAATATAATTTGGTCACTCTGATTTAACATGATCAAAACCTGGCACTCATGACATCTTACAGACCTCTTTCAGGTATCTCTAGCATCTCTATTATCTATATTATATTTCCTAAATTTACTCCAGTCATCCTTATATCTCTCAGAAAATCTTTTATTATTCTTAAAGAATTTCTTAAATTTCTTAGCAATATAGGTAATTATCCTCGCCTTAAATGTGTCATAATTAGTCGTATCCTAAGTCTCTTTCTTAACAATGTTTAGGGCTAAATACTTGTTTTCTTAGACTGGGTAGAGTAAGTTCATATGTTTGGAGAGATGCTACAAGTTCTTCAATCTTAATTGTATCTAGATACTTGCTTTTTTCAATAGTAGTAACTTTAGGTCTAAATCTCTCAAGTATGGATCTCATTTCTTTTCTCACAATCTTAGCCTCGGGAATTCGCTTACTAGATTGAAATTAGAGTTGACTATATCATTTAATTTAGCATATAAATCAACAAAAAAAAGATCATTAGTCCTAATTTTTTTAAACCTAGCTGTCAATATCAGCAATTTAGAATTTTTAACGGTCTTTGTTCCCTCATATATAGTTTCTAATATTTCTTACACATCTTTCACAATCTCACACATGGACACTTTTTAAAACTTAACAGGAGAAATAGCCATAAAGATGACATGTTTCCCTCTACTATTTTAGTTACACTCATCTAAATCATTCTTAGACCAAGTGAAAACCTTAGTAGGGGTAAGGGTAGTCTAACATTTCTCTTGCAACACATGTAGCTAGGGTAGTCTAACATTTCTGTACATTAAACCCAACCCACTTATCCATAGACTAAAGAAAGGCGTCCAACCTTCCAGTATGTATAATTACTACCGTTAAAGAACGGAGGAACGAAAAGTGATTGACTCATCCGTCAATGATCATAATTAAGAACTGATACCCATTGATACCACCTGATAGGAATATATATCACTTCGTTTAGGTCCAAATATGCGGAATTAACCAATAAAATAAGCAACACGTCACTTATTTATTATTTCTAAATAATTAGTTTTAAATACAATTTAAATTTTAAGTTAAACAATCGCAGGCGTATAGATCGAAAACATAAAAAGTAAATAATAGTAGAAATAACAACTTTAAAATCGTGAACTAGGGTTTTTCGAATGTTACTGCCGCTCGAAGCATTGACCTCGTGCCTAGCGAGCACCATTACCCTTGCTTTGAGTGAGGCGTGCTCAACAAATTTGTGTCGACTTTTTCTCAATTGTCCATATTTGACTCATTCATGATCTATACTACCTATTCTTGACGATTTTGACTTCAATTACAACTCAATAACTCATGATTTTGAACACAAGAATAGCCAATTACAATTAGATACCAACAAGGAACATAGTAATTTCAAATTCAAAATCTAACTACTCTTATGCCATGAAAAACACATCGAACTAAGGAATACAACATATAATTAAATCTCACACAGCCTTCTCGAATAAAATATTCTTGTGTTCCCAATACATGGAATATTCTAAAGTTCAAGAATACTATTCTGAAACGAGAGTGAAGTTAGACGAACTTATATATAAAAGAAAATTGCATAAAAAGTTATATTTTCAAATAAAGTTTCTCTGTCGTATGCTNGAAAATAAGTATATGACAAAGCCTCGTTTGGTAGGGATTTTTTAGAATATTTTATAAAAAGTGAATTTTGAATTGAATTTATTATTATTATT